GATTGCGAAGACCATGGCCTGTATCAGATGCACCTTAGTCTCCAGAGAGACACCATTACTCTTCAGTACTTTGGAGAGGTCCCTAACAGCAGACTTTCCCACGGCAATGCGCCTTTTAATTTCTTGGCTACCGGTGCCGAGAGTGTTGATTGTGGAGCCAAGCAAACTAAAGCTGTGAACAATCTCAATCTCTTGCAAATATAGTCAGATCTGTACAACTAGGAGAAGGAAAAAAATCAATGAATGCAACCTTCTAAAAGTTAAGTTGCTGTGTGCTTCTAAAACTCCTTCCAGTTGGGTGAAAAGAAAACCTATTGACTAGGGAAAAATATTTGACAATGACATCTCAGACAAGGGTCTCGGAAGGAAAGTTTACAGAATATTACAGCACCTCTACAAGGAAGACTGAACCCACTCACAAAATGTGAAAAAGAAAAAAAAAAGACATTTCACAAAGGAAGGCATTCAGATGACCCACAGACACATGAAGAAATGCTCAAAACTACTGGCAATAAGAGAGACATAAATCAAAACCACAATGAAATACTATCTCACTTCAGAAACAGTAGCAAATTGTAAGAGGACAGCAAGTGATAAATATAGGAAAGGATGTGGATATTGGAATTCTTACGCACTGTGGGTTGGACTGTAAAATGGTACAACCACTCTGGAAGGCAGTTTGACATTTCCTCAGAAAAGCAGAACATAGGAATCTCAGGTGATCCAGCTATTGCACTACTGGGAATATATCCAAAGGAAAACAGAATCAAGACACAAATGGACATTTATATACCTATATTCAAAGCAGCACTACTCATAATAGTAAGAAAATGGAAACTGCCCAAATACTCATCAACAAAAGAAAGGACTGGAAAATTATGGTACATTTGGACAACGGAAATACTACGTATCAGAACGGAATAATGATTTTGTAAAGTACTAAATGACATGGGAGAATATAGAGAGCATTATGTTGAGTGAACTAATTCAATCTCATATGACAACTACTGCATAAGAGCATTATTGTAATAAAGGAAAGATAACTCTAATTTAAGATGTAGACAAAAATCCAAAATGGGAAGAGGAGGTTGCAGAGGAGCATTTTTCTTTATGGATGAATAATATTCCATTCTACATCTGTGCCGTATTTTCTTATCCATCCATCCATCAGTTGATGGACCTGTAGGCTATTTCTCTACCTTTTGACTATTGTGAATGATGCTGTAACGAACATTACTGCATAATGTAGTGTTCTTCCTATTGCACTTGTTTTATAATTAAATTTGTAAGTAAATTGTATTTAGCTTTCACAATTTAAGTAAAAGCAATTAAGTGTTAATTATTACTTCAATTCAGGTACCGCCACAAAAACTTTTTTCTCCTCAATTTTTTTATTATTAATTTAATGAAAATTTACAGAGACTTTTGGATTTCCAGTGATTCGTTGTTGCACTTTTCTCCCCGCCCACTCCTCCCTCCCCTAGTTCACTCTTCTCTTTGAAAAGTAAAAGAAAAATTCTTCCATTGTTTTACAATCCCTCCCCCCAGGTCCACTCCACTAATACCTAATCATATATTTCTTTTGAACAATTTTCTTCCTCATCTGTTTCAATGAAGTATATATTATTTATTCCCTTTTTCTCAGTCTCCCCCCAACCCAAATGTCAGTCCTGTTTTACAACAGAGGCACTATGCAGTATTTGTCCTTTTGTGACTGAGATATTACACTCAGCATAATGTCCTCCAGGGTCACTCATTTTGAATAATATTTCATGAGTTCCTTCTTTATTTAATGCGGTGTAGTATTCCATTGTGTGACTATACCACAGCTTC